CTGATTCCTCTATGCTAACATGGGTCATGCTTTACTATCGAGGGCTCAATTACTTTTAGTTATTTTATTTTGTCCTCTGTTCTCGAGAGTTGGCAAATATGTACGCAGAGTATTCTGAATGCCAATCACAAGGAGTAGCCATTGCCACCCCTTACCATACAATACTCTGGATGATCCCCCTTAGTAGATGGGCCTGTAGACAGCAGCTAGCCCCCCATAGTAGCACCTTTAGGAGGGAACAGATCTCATTTTGGTTTATTTTGATTGCCCTTTGCCTGAACAGGGGAACACCTTTGTCATGTATTATTCCGTTGATGGAATTACAGGAATTTTTATTTTTATTTCCCCTCTGCCATCTCCAAAAGAATGATCTAGTTTTTGCATCTGTCGGCTTGATGCTATATACCCATGTACTTGCATCAAATTGTATTGCTACCCTGTTAGAGATACTCCGGTAGTTGGTATGCCTGTTAGTTGTGCTCTGTAAAGATCATGAATACACTGCAACATACTCAAGTATTGTCAACTTGCAAATGCCAAGAGAAAAAGGAATGCCCCAAAAAATGGAATCCAGATGTTGAAAATGGATCTGCAGATGCATGACATGTTTTGAAAGAACAATGAAAAGTCAAACTGTTCTATTTTGTCAGTGAGTATTTATTAATGACAGTATTTGCCTATATTCATTATGGAAAAACAATCCAGTCTTTTGAACCAACCATCTTGTCTTTAGATGACGTCATCATCGATAAGAACTCACAAAATATGTGGTCCTCTGTAGCTCAGCTGGTAGAGCACGGCGCTTGTAACGCCAAGGTAGTGGGTTCGATCCCTGGGACCATCCATACACAAAAATAAATAAAATGTATGCACGCATGACTGTAAGTCGCTTTGGATAAAAGCGTCTGCTAAATGGCATATTATATTATTATTATTATATTATATATGAAAATGTCCCCCCATAGTCCATTCAGTCTATTATTCCAAATTACTCCATTTCCTCATTTAAAACAAACAGAAGAGATATTCCCCACACCATCACTCTGCCCCTATTGCAAACTTTCTTTCACCCTCACCCTGTAACTCTCCCACCCCTTCTACTATCACTTCCTCCCCCACTTTCCTGGCATTGTCTGTTTGTCCCTCATCTATTTCTCTCTCTTTGTCTAAGTCGTTCTCAGTCTCGTTATTCTTATTTTTCTTTTTATCTTTCTTTGCTTCTTTCTTTTTTATTTCTTTCTTTCTTTGTAGTTCTTCGTTCTTTCTTTATGTTTTTGTCTATCTCTCTTTCTCTCTCTCTCTATCTCTTTTCTATCTTCATTTCTCTCTCTCTCTCTCTTACTCCTCTCTTCTCTCTGTCTTTCTCTTCTCTCTTGTTTTGTCTTGTCTGTCTCTCTTTGTCTCTCTGTCTTGTGTCTCTATGTCTCTCTCTCTGTCTCTCTCTCTCTCTCTCTCTCTGTCTATATCTCTCCTTCTCTCTTGCCTCTATACTGTCTAATCTCTCTCGTCTCCTCTATCGGTCTCTCTCCTCTATGTCTCTGTCTCTCTTCCTCTCTCTCTCTCTCTATCTATTGTCTCTCTCCTCTTATATCTTGTATCTCTATCTCTCTGTCTTATATCTCTCTTTCTTCTCTCTGTGTGTCTCTTCTCTCTCACTATCTCCACTTCTCTATCTCTTATTCTCTCTCTCTCATCCTCTCTCTCTCTCTCTCTCTCTGCTCTCTCTCTCTCTCTCTCTCTCTCTCTCTTCTCTCTCGCTCTCTTCTCTCTCTCTCTCTCTTCTCTCTCTCTCTGTCTGTCTGTCTGTCTGTCTGTCTGTCTCTCTCTCTCTCTCTCTCTCTCTCTCTCTCTCTCTCTGTGTCTCTCTGTCTCTCTGTCTCTCTCTGTCTCTGTCTGTCTCTCTCTGTCTCTGTCTGTCTCTCTCTGTCTCTGTCTGTCTCTCTCTCTCTCTCTGTCTCTCTCTGTCTCTCTGTCTCACTGTTCACCCTCTGTTTCCTCTTACCCCTTTCATCCCACTCTTACCCCCCTCACTTTTGAACTCTATCTCCCCCTACAACATTTATTTTTCTATCACATCTATAATTTCTTCCATGTCTCTCACCCCACTCTCACCCCTCTCTCACCCCACTCTCACCTGTCTCTTACCCTGTGCTTACCCCTCTCTCTCTTTTTAATTTGTGGTAGGGACTTTTTTTTCAGTGCCTAGAGAAACCAGGGATACATAGTCTGTTGGTCTAGTCCACTCATTTGAACGATTAAGAAACAAAACATCTCCTAATTGTACACTATAGAAGCCATTGAACATATAGCTATCCTACCCTCAGCCGTGGCCCTCCATCCTCCTTTTATCTCTCCCTTTCTCTGAACATGGGACTGACAGATGTCACTTGAGTTGACAGTTGGTGATGCTATAGTAACCCTCCTCCCAGCCAAACCAAGCCCACCCCCTTATCCACATGCCCCGCCCCCCTCACATCATCCTCACTCTTTTCAGTGTCACACAATTGGACATGACATCTGTCACTCACCCACGAACATCAACCCCTCTCTCATCTCTATATTGAGTCCCCCTCTTCATGCACATGTCCTCTCATCACTGATAGTTTGAGATCTGACTATTGATATTATGCATCTCTGGGAAATGGGAGCAATATGTGGGCATGTCTCATTTTTAATCAGGTACTGGTGATATTCTGCTTTTAGGCTTCTCATCAATGTTTTTATTACATGAGGGTATTCTAGTCATTATTGTCATGACAGACAGAACCCATACTGTTGTTTCAGAATTAGGTCATACAGTGAGGGAAAAAAGTATTTGATCCCCTGCTGATTTTGTATGTTTGCCCACTGACAAAGAAAGATCAGTCTATCATTTTAATGGTAGGTTTATTTGAACAGTGAGAGACAGAATAAAAACAAAAAAATCCAGAAAAACACATGTAAAAAATGTTATAAATTGATTTGCATTTTAATGAGGGAAATAAGTATTTGACCCCCTCTCAATCAGAAAGATTTCTGGCTCCCAGGTGTCTTTTATAGAGGTAACGAGCTGAGATTAGGAGCACACTCTTAAAGACCAAAGAGCTCTCCAAGGATGTCAGGGACAAGATTGTAGACCTACACAAGGCTGGAATGGGCTACAAGACCATCGCCAAGCAGCTTGGTGAGAAGGTGACAACAGTTGGTGTGATTATTCGCAAATGGAAGAAACAAGGCAGCTGGGACCATAGTCACCAAGAAAACAATTGGTAACACACTACGCCGTGAAGGACTGAAATCCTGCAGTGCCCGCAAGGTCCCCCTGCTCAAGAAAGCACATATACATGCCCATCTGAATGATTCAGAGGAGAACTGGATGAAAGTGTTGTGGTCAGGTGAGACCAAAATGTAGCTCTTTGGCATGAACTCAACTCGCTGTGTTTGGAGGAGGAGGAATGCTGCCTATGACCCCAAGAACACCATCCCCACCGTCAAACATGGAGGTGGAAACATTATGCTTTGGGGGTGTTTTTCTGCTAAGGGGACAGGACAACTTCACCGCATCAAAGGGACGATGGACGGGGCCATGTACCGTCAAATCTTGGGTGAGAACCTCCTTCCCTCAGCCAGGGCATTGAAAATGGGTTGTGGATGGGTATTCCAGCATGACAATGACCCAAAACACACAGCCAAGGAAACAAAGGAGTGGCTCAAGAAGAAGCACATTAAGGTCCTGGAGTGGCCTAGCCAGTCTCCAGACCTTAATCCCATAGAAAATCTGTGGAGGGAGCTGAAGGTTCGAGTTGCCAAACGTCAGCCTCGAAACCTTATTGACTTGGAGAAGATCTGCAAAGAGGAGTGGGACAAAATCCTTCCTGAGATGTGTGCAAACCTGGTGGCCAACTACAAGAAACGTCTGACCTCTGTGATTGGCAACAAGGGTTTTGCCACCAAGTACTAAGTAATGTTTTGCAGAGGGGTCAAATACTTATTTTCCTCATTAAAATGCAAATCAATTTATAACATTTTTGACGTGCGCTTTTCTGGATTTTTTAGTTGTTATTCTGTCTCTCACTGTTCAAATAAACCTACCATTAAAATTATAGACTGATAATTTCTTTGTCAGTGGGCAAACGTACAAAATCAGCAGGGGATCAAATACTTGTTTCCCCTCACTGTACATGCTAGCGTCTCCTGTGCTTTCTTATGGTTCTCTGTCCTCAACTTATACACTGGAGTTTAAAATCTATTTAACAATCATACAACACTAACCAAATACCGTCAAAACATGGGCACTCGTTACTCGACCAGCTCCCAGAATGCATTTATAAGAAGATAAGCAGTTCCCTAGAGGCTAGCTTGTCCGCTACCCAACCTTTATCAAAACGTTTTTCCCCCTGTAGAATAGAAAACTCTTCTTACAACCGACTAGCCTTTATCCTTAAAACAGAGCTATTTGTTCATCTAAATAATTTAAGAAATCACTCTGTTCTCTGATTTCTGTTTTTGTTTTTCAGCACACGACCCATCATTGGTCAGGAACTGAGTGACATTCACCAATCAATCGCGAATGGCAGAATCTATTGAATACAAATTACGAATGAGATTTGCATCCTATTCAATATTTTGGATCTAATATGCCTAAAATGGTAGCCATTTAAATGTTAACAACACATACAGCAAAAAGCTGCATGCCAGCCTACACATACTACAGTACAACAAACCACTGGTCCCATTGAGCTTAGATACAGAATCACATCAGTAGGACAGTCCAGAACAGTTCTATGGACTCTGTCTAATATGATGCAAGTTGACAATGTAAAGCTGTAAGTGTTTATAATTTGCCATAGCAGGAGCTCTAGTCAGACACACCCAGTGTTGTGTGTTGTGTTGATGTAGAGAGATATGCTATACTATTTCTCTGTGCTTCACTGATGCCCTTTTCCTATGAATCCTGTCCTTTTCCCTGTGCTGGTTGGCTGGTTGGACACACAGACGCAGACAGAGCTCAGAAGCACGGCATGGATGAGTTTATCTCGGCTAATCCCTGCAGTTTTGACCACGCCTCACTGTTCGAGATCGTCCAGAGGCTCACGTTGGACCACAGGCTCAATGACACCTTCTGCTGCCTGGTGAGTGTCATTCTCCGTACCCACAGTACCGTGGAATGACAATAAATACATAAATAAAATGTTTTCCCAAAAGCATCTTAAGGCTAAATTCATCGTAAGAACCTTCATAGGAGCAAATCTCCAAACTGTTTGCCAAAACCATTGTTACTAAAGTAGCACTTGAAAACGCTCATTATTTACCGACTGCCTCAGACCACTCATAGAACTGCTAAGTGCGTCGTTAGATGCATTCAATTGAGTTCTGTTTTGCTAATTGTAGGCTACTGTCAATATATTTAATGATATGTAACAACATGTGCGCAATGATGTGCCAAATCTTGATTTAGTCCATTATTGTAGGGTAAGCATTAGAATAAGCTGCCTCAATATGTGCAGCCATAAGTGATCATATCTTTCTAGGACCTGATCCGTAGTGAGTATTGTGGAATAATTATAATGTTAAGGTAAGATTTGAATGGAGAAAGCTGATCCAAAGCAGCAATGCCTTTCTTTCGATCCAATCAGCATCAACACTATGCCTCAATGACGCACTTAGCAAACGTTCTCTATGCGTGGTGTTTTGGGAAACACGTTACATCATCGACCGTTGTAGGAAAGATGTAATTGTTAAAACACTCGTAAGCCTAAGTTCCATCGCTATCGGGAAACCAGGCCCTGGGCACTAAAAGGTTCCTTTTTTTAAATGCAAAAATTCTCTCACAGAGTGATGCTAGGGCCAAGGTCATGGTTCAGTTTGGGCCAGGTATTTGTTTGTGATTCAGATCATGGTGCTAACATGCTAAAAACTATCTTATGTGGTGTTTAAGGGATGGTTCAACCCGGGTTAGGGGTTCAAATCTAAAGTGTTAAACCCCCCTCTCTGATCTGGTGTGTAGGGATGGTTCAGCCCGGGCCAGGTGTTTGTCCTGGATGAGTACTGCTCCAGGAATGGCGTGCGGGGGTGTCACAGACACCTGGGTTACCTAGGCGACCTGCTGGAGAGGGCGGACAGAGGAGCCATGATCGACCCCACCCTGCTGCACTACAGCTTTGCTTTCTGCGCCTCCCATGTCCACGGAAACAGGTAACATCTACACCCCATTCAACCCAGATCTCCTGCTCGCCAATCCAAAGTCTTCACATTAGACCAAGAGGAAATGCTCAAGGTCCGAGGGCGGCACTGGGCTTACATGTCTCAGGCAGGGCTACATCCTCACAAGAGCATTATTCTAAATCACCACCATAGTCTATGGCAAGAGAGATGGCTAAACTTCAGATCTCAAATACACACTCAGAGGTCTTCAAATGAAAGCAGAAGAGAAGGAAGGAAGGAAAGAAGAGCTGGCTATAGTGAGAGAAGACAAGGGTCAGAGTCCTCAAAAGCATCAGAGCATCTTTTCTTATTGTTTTATGATTTCCCATTGTTATTGTCATTAATGTTTTGCATATGATTTATTATGATTTTGATCATTTTGTACTGTGTGTTATCATGTTATCATTTTGTACTGTGTGTTATCATGTTGTTATCTAATTTTTTACTAATCAGTTACATATACTTTGGTTTCCACCCTTCTCTTTCTCCTTTTCCGTCCTTGTCTTTTGCTGCCTTGTTCAGTCTCATGATGTCGATGTTGCTCATCCTCCCATGCATTCCTATGAAGTCAGAGAGGGCAGCTGTTACTGGGGGCCACTGATGGGTTGTGGGGGACCCTGGGACCCAAGCGGCCCCCAGACCCTAGAACCAGGGGCTGCAGGCTCTAAAAGGGGAAGAAAATATATGAAGTTTAGAAAGAAAAGGGAATCCAAATTGCAGCTCGTCCAAGAGCCCATCAGGTACGATACTGTACTGTATAAGAACAAAAATTGAAGGTTGGTAAACATGCTAAAGAATGATTCTGTTTCACTCACACAAGCAGCAGTAAAATCATGGAGAACTAAATTATGACACTGTTTTGGTGCAAATTGTTGTCTTGTTCCTTTTTTGATGGGCTCTAACTGGTGGCTCTGCAACCACATGATTGGCTGGGCTGATGTTGTGTTTGCATTGTGTTTATGTTTTTTTTGTATTGTATAACGTCATCCTCAGGCCTGATGGACTGGGAACAGTGAAGGTGGATGAGAAGGAGCGCTTTGAAGAAATCAAAGAGCGGTTGCGGGTGATCCTGGAACACCAGATCACTAACTTCAGGTGCCTGCTGGTCATCCATCCATCCGGCTTCATCTATTGTTTTGTTCATCATTGTTATTTTTTCCCTAGTGAGTTTTATTTCATTGTGATTCTACTCGCTTATCTTCCTGTAGATATTGTTTCCCGTTTGGCCGTCCAGAGGGAGCGCTGAAGGCCACTCTGTCTTTGCTGGAAAGGGTTTGTACATTTAGATGACTACAATCTTTTCTTTCTCATTTTACAGAAACTTTGCAGGTCATGAATGATTCACATCTCATTGCTCATATAAGCTCATAAATATGCTTGAAAAAGGAAATTGAAAATGAAAACTTGTAAGCTAAACTGTAATTCAGTGGCTAGACTCTAAGGAAGGCTTGTCCTGCCCTGTTTCTCACTTTCAGGTGCTGATGAAGGACATTGTGACTCCCGTCCCACAAGAGGAAGTGAAGGGAGTCATCCGTAAATGTCTGGAGCAGGCAGCTCAGCTCAACTACGCAAAAATCACAGAATATGCTCAAATCGAAGGTAATTATCCCTCATTTACATATACAGACATACCTTCAAAATGCAATAGCAGTTACCTCTGTTGGTAAATGATTGGTTGTTGTTGCTATGAAACCTGTGACTGATTGTTTTTCTTTTGATGATTGTAACTATTCATTAATGACCTCTTTAAGTACTTTAGTGACTTTTGAGTCATTCTGGTGGTGTCTATGTGGAACAGGTGAGTCAACCATTCTACTCTCTTTTAGAAGTGACTTGTCTTGTACACTTTGATTCATATTTTAGCATCCTACAGTGGGAATAATTTCAAGATGAACCTGGACAAGAAAACGAGTACTGAAGAAACATACTAATACAGTGAGGGGAAAAAAGTATATGATCCCTTGCTGATTTTGTACGTTTGCCCACTGACAAAGACATGATCAGTCTATAATTTTAATGGTAGGTTTGTTTGAACAGTGAGAGACAGAATAACAACAAAAAAATCCAGAAAAATGCATGTCAAAAATGTTATAAATTGATTTCCATTTTAATGAGGGAAATAAGTATTTGACCCCTCTGCAAAACATGACTTAGTACTTGGTGGCAAAACCCTTGTTGGCAATCACAGAGGTCAAACACGGCGAGTTGAGTTGAAGCCAAAGAGCTCGAATTTGGTCTCATCTGACCACAACACTTTCACCCAGTTCTCCTTTGAATCATTCAGATGTTCATTGGCAAACTTCAGACGGCCCTGTATATGTGCTTTATTGAGCAGGGGGACCTTGCGGGCGCTGCAGGATTTCAGTCCTTCACGGCGTAGTGTGTTACCAATTGTTATCTTGGTGACTATGGTCCCAGCTGCCTTGAGATCATTGACAAGATCCTCCCGTGTAGTTCTGGGCTGATTCCTCACTGTTCTCATGATCATTGCAACTCCACGAGGTGAGATCTTGCATGGAGCCCCAGGCCGAGGGGGATTGACAGTTATTTTGTGTTTCTTCCATTTGCGAATAATCACACCAACTGTTGTCACCTTCTCACCAAGCTGCTTGGCGATGGTCTTGTATACCATTCCAGCCTTCTGTAGGTCTACAATCTTGTCCGTGACATCCTTGGAGAGCTCTTTGGTCTTTGCCATGGTGGAGAGTTTGGAATCTGATTGATTGATTGCTTCTGTGGACAGGTGTCTTTTATTGTTATTCTGTCTCTCACTGTTCAAATAAACCTACCATTAAAATTATAGACTGATCATTTCTTTGTCAGTGGGTAAACGTACAAAATCAGCAGGGGATCAAATGCTTTTTTCCCTCACTGTATATCTTATTTTAATTTTTTTTTACCAGAAATGTGGATTACATTTTCCCCACATGATAAATTCAAGAGGAGCAGTTTATACAGTATTTTTCCATTTGACAGATTGGTTGTCACTTGTTTGTCACTCAGCCATTTGTCTCCCCTTTGTTTCAGGCAGGCTGCTTTAGCTGTGGTGTTCTGTAATCTACTGTACTTTACTCTACTGTACTGTACAGTACTCTACTGTACTCTAATGTACTGTACTCTACTCTACTGTACTGTACTCTACTGCACTCTACTGTACTGAACTGTACTGTACTGTACTCTACTGAACTGAACTGTACTGTACTGTACTCTACTGTATTTTCTGTACTGTCGGTGAAGTTGGCTTTCTGTAGAGGTGTTGTGAGTAAAAATGCATTCAAATCCAAAGTTTTTGATTAAAGCCCTGTTGATGTACTGGCCTGGCCCCCCTCTCTCTGTACCTTGACTCTAGCTGTATCCTGGCCTCTGGCATGTGGTGATTTAACAGTATAGAGCTGCAGTATATATTATAGATCTACAGCAGATCTCCCCTCCCTAACCCACTACTCCTTTTTGACCGTATCGTTACCCTAGACTCCAGGGCCTACAAACTAAGATTTATAAAAATAAATCTTACTTGGCCCTGCCTCTCTTCTTCTCCTTTCCTAGGGACCCTTGTCCTTCTCTCCCTCTCCTTTCCCCCTCTTTCTCCTTCTCCCTTTCCTTCCCCTATTCCACCAGCGGACCACTGCCCTCCTATCACTAGTCCTCTGCTGTCCTCTTCCTCCCTCTCCTCTTATTGGCTTCACCACATTTATCACCTCACATTTCTGTGATACTTGGTTTTGAAGCCAATGAAAAAGAATGCTGGGATTGGACAAAGACAACCCAGCATCTGTCACCTGCATGTGCTACAGGACATTATGGAAAGGTTTGTCTTCATAGGCATGGACTAGTCACTACATATCACAATTTACCTTTAGAAACAGCCTTTTTGGAAATGCCATATACAGTACTCTATTCTTGCTTGCATAACACCATTTTGGTTTCCCTACAAAGTCATATGCATAGCTTGCATTGACATGCATGTCAACAGGTTGAACCAAAACGTGTAGTCAATACCTAGAAAGATATTCTTAGGGTGCCAAAGATACTAGGGTGTTTATCCCTTACTATCTGGAAAATATATCAAGTAGACAAGAAAATAGTGCTAAAACACTAATTATTGGACCCAGTCATCCCTAGTCCCAACCAAGTCAATACTCCCATGGTTGTGTTCATTAGGCCACCAAATGGAAGAAAACAAACTGAAACAGCGAAGATGTACCCGGACATGTCCAATAAGAAAGGTTTTGTTTTGTTTTCTGTTACAAAAAGTTTTACTATGGTGTGTCCTAATGAACATGACCCAGGACAATTCTCTGCCTTCCCATCTCCTCTGACATTTAACCTCTCACCCTATCCTCTGACCCCAGCCTCTTGCATGTCCCAATCCTCCTCTTTTGTAGGGAGAAAGAGGGAAATGTTTGAGCACCCTGTCTTCTGCTTGGCGTCACAAGTGATGGATTTAACCATCCGTGAGTACCTACCTCATCCTCCCTGTTTCTCCTCCCTCCCTCTTTCAACCTTCTTTGACCACATCACCCCCTCCCTCCTTCCCTCCCTCCCTCACTCCCCTCAGCGATGTCCACTCCTCCTTCCTCCTCTGTGCTTGTTTTTAGTCTATCGCTCATGTCTGTGAGAGCGAGTGGGGAGAGAGAGAGTCAGTCTTGTCTGTGGAGATCTGTCTGAGGAACCACTGCAGCACTGCAGCAGCCCTACTACCAGGGACCTACAGTTACCCATATGTCTGTGACCCACATGAATGATCTGTCGGTCTGGTCTGTAAGCTTCTTTCTTTTGGTTGGACATATGCCCATGCCCACCCATGTGACTTGAATGCATTTTTTACTTTGCTTCTGTGTTATCTCCTTCAGTCGTCTGATCATGTGTCAGTGAGTGGTACGCTCGCCACACTGCGCTGTGCGCTGGGACAGACAGGTATGATGCTATTTCACTGCCAGAGACAGATATGGAGGCAGTAGAACAGAGCAGAACCTGCAGGCAGAGCTACAATACCAGGAGGACAGAAATGATTGGGTGTATGCATACAGAGTTCCTATAATATGTGTTTTAACTCAGCTCAACTCAATCCACCACCGGTCAATGTGTCCTGTCTTTGGTTCGAGCAGCTGTTGTTCGTCTTATGTCTAAGTTTACGATGGTCTAAAGCTGTCTGTCTGTCACTGTTAACTGCATCCTGTTGTTGTTGCTTCTTTAATGTTGACTTCTCCTCAGGCTAATGTCTCAGCGTTTCAGAGTGTCTGTACCTACCTGTATGTCTGTGGAGTTTTGTCAACTACTGTAGCTACCTAACACATTCAACTAGTGTAGCTACCTAACACATTCAACTACTGTAGCTACCTAACACATTCAACTACTGTAGCTACCTAACACATTCAACTAGTGTAGCTACCTAACACATTCAACTACTGTAGCTACCTAACACATTCAACTACTGTAGCTACCTAACACATTCAACTACTGTAGCTACCTAACACATTCAACTACTGTAGCTACCTAACACATTCAACTACTGTAGCTACCTAACACATTCAACTACTGTAGCTACCTAACACATTCAACTACTGTAGTTACCTAACACATTCAACTACTGTAGCTACCTAACACATTCAACTACTGTAGCTACCTAACACATTCAACTACTGTAGCTACCTAACACATTCAACTAGTGTAGCTACCTAACACATTCAACTACTGTAGCTACCTAACACATTCAACTACTGTAGCTACCTAACACATTAAACTAGTGTAGCTACCTAACACATTCAACTACTGTAGCTACCTAACATATTCAACTACTGTAGCTACCTAACACATTCCCCCAGAGTTCTGGGAAGTTTCCAGAGTTCTCTCTAAAGGTCAAAGGTCAGATGGAGAAGCGTAAAGCATAACATATTTTCTCTCTCTTCTGGAAGATAAACTAATAACCATGGTGTTATAAACCTAAATATCTCCTCTTTTCTCTTTTTTGTCTTTCTTTTCTCTCTCTCTTTCAAGTTGAGAAAGATAAAAAGCCAGATCCAAATGATCCAGGTGAAGCCCTGTTTGACTTTTAGCTTAGCCCCAATACACACCTACCCTAAACACACACACACACACACACATGTAAACATATACAATACATACAGTGAGGGAAAAAAGTACGTTTGCCCGCTGACAAAGAAATTATCAGTCTGTAATTTTAGTGGTAGGTTTATTTGAACAATGAGAGACAGAATAACAACAACAAAATTCAGAAAAACGTATGTCTCAACTCAACTCGCCGTGTCTGCAAAGAGGAGTGGGACAAAATCCCTCCTGAGATGTGTGCAAACTGTGTGGCCAACTACAAGAAACGTCTGACCTCTGTGATTGCCAACAAGGGTTTCGCCACCAAGTACTAAGTCATGTTTTGCAGAGGGTTCAAATACTTATTTCCCTCATTAAAATGCAAATGGTATTATAACATTTTTGACATGCGTTTTTCTGGATTTTGTTGTTGTTATTCTGTCTCTCACTGTTCAAATAAACCTACCATTAAAATTATAGACTGATCATGTCTTTGTCAGTGGGCAAACGTACAAAACCAGCAGGGATCAAATACTTTTCCCTCACTGTACATCATGTAACCACATACACATTTTAAACACACATAAACCCTTTCAAATTCCCCCTCATGTCTTGGCATGACAACATTTAGCACACTAATATTTGTGGAGAGATTGTACTACTTTATAACAACATACTGGGATAATATATAGATGCATTCATTAAATGATTTTCCATTGTTTTTCCTGATGCTATGATAGATGTATTGAATAAAGCAAAATACATCAGCAACTTAAGCAAAACAATCTCTCACAAATATGCACATAAAAGGTAGCATCTCCAATGTGTTGAGAGACATAATGCAATACGAGTTTGCTTAAATATACCTGGCTATCAGTATTCAAATACACAATGAGGAAAACTCTGAATTATTAAAAATTATTACATTTGTATAGAAAAGAGATGGGTCCATTCTCTGATAACATGATATATTTCATAAAACAGTTGAACACATTGGATATGGATGAAGTATGATACAATGATAATCACTACATTATCATTCTGCTGATTATACTTCAGTGTAAGGTCTAAGGACCAACATAAAGGCTCTGTAAGGAGTCCTCTGCCATTCCTCTGGCACTGCATGATCTCTCGTTAGCCTTGTGAAGTATGATGTGTGGTCCAGGGTCCTTTTGGCATGCACGGCTACTTAGTAGTCCAGGTAGTACATAGCATAGAGCAGGGTTCCCCAACTGGCGGCCCAGGTGGTTTTATTTTGCCCCCCCAAGTATTCTTAGCAAAAAAAAATACAAAATAATAATAATAATAATAATAAGACTGTAAAAACACCAGGAAATCCCCAAGTGATTTTAATTTAAGAAATCTGTTCCCAAGTATTTCCACGCATAATAGAGAGACAGGTGATCATATACAAATGTAAGCAAGGTTTGAAATGATTAGTCAAACATTATATCTGTTTGGGCTTCTTGTGGTCAATTTGCAGTCTACAAATTATTTGTAATTATGTTCCGGCCCCCCCGACCATCCGCTCCAGAAAAAATCGTCCGCAGCTGAATATACTTGATGATTCCTAGCATAGAGTAAATGACGTGTGACTAAAATATTATGAGAATAAATAGGCTACATTGAAAGTATATTTTCAACATTTAGACATATATGATAAACATGATATGATGAAATTATAATTTACCAATATTAACTCTGTATTAACTCCTTATTTCAAATTCATTTGAGCCGTCCAATTAAATGTCCTGATGTTTTGCTCATTTTGCCACATTATTGTAAATGTTCTGAATACCTCATTTCACCATATTCAATTGTCCAAACTCATTTTATGTCAGCAGATAATATGTATATGAAAAAAAGTCTCCAGGTACACCCTAGATCAGGGTTCTTCAATTCTGGTCCTGGAGGGCCGAAACACTTCTGTTTTTTATTTCTACCTGGTAGTTAATTGCACTCACCTGGTGTCCCAGGTCTGAATTAGCCCCTGATTAGAAGGAGAGAATGAAAAACAAAGGTGTTTCGGCCCTCCTGTCACGTTCGTTGAATGACGGGACAGACCAAGGCGCAGCGTGATATACGTACATGTTTATTTAACTTAATAAACACTCTACAAAACAATAAACGAAACGAAACATGAAGTCCAAGGTAGCACACACAACATACCTTACACGAAACAAGATCCCACAACTACACAGTGCCAATAGGCTGCCTAAGTATGATCCCCAATCAGAGACAACGAGCGACAGCTGCCTCTGATTGGGAACCACACCGGCCAACATAGAAATACACATACTAGATAGAAAACATAGAACTACACAACATAGAATATACACACCCTGACTCAACAAATAAGCATCCCCTGAGTCAGGGCGTCACAGTACCCCCCCCCCCCCAAAGGTGCAGACTCTGACCGCACAACATAAACATAACAGGGTAGGGGCCGGGTGGGCATTCCGCCTCGGAGGCGGATCCGGCTCAGGGCGTGACGACCTCTCACTCTTCGCCTCCCTGTTGCGCCCCTGGTCTGGTCTAGACCTCGGCACGTTGCTTCCCCTCTCCTTCCTCCCACGATATGCCAGGCCCAGTCTGGACCCTGGTGTGGGAGACCCGAACCTGGAGAGGGGCTGACGTCATGGTCTGGACTGGAGCCGCTGACCGGAGCTGGACTGGGCACCAGTGGAGCGGACTGCTCTGGCTCCGGAGTGGAGCCGCTGACCGGAGCTGGATCAGGCACTGGTGGAGCGGACTGCTCTGGCTCCGGAGTGGAACGGCTGACCGGAACTGGATCAGGCACCGGTGGAGCGGACTGCTCTGGCTCCGGAGTGGAGCAGCTGACCGGCACCGGTGGAACGGGCACAGGCCGTGCCGGACTGGACAAACGCACCACTGGTCTGGTGCTAGGAGCAGGCCCGGGCCGGACCGGACTAGGAACACGCACCACTGGCTTGGTGCGAGGGGCAGGTACGGGCCGGACTGGCGACGCGCACCACTGGCTTGGTGCGAGGAGCAGGAACAGGCCGGGCCGGGCTGGCGACGCGCACCACTGGCTTGGTGCGAGGAGCAGGAACAGGCCGGGCCGGGCTGGCGACGCGCACCACAGGCTTGGTGCGAGGAGCAGGAACAGGCCGGGCCGGACTGGCGACGCGCACCACAGGCTTGGTGCGAGGAGCAGGAAAGGGCCGGGCCGGACTGGCGACGCACACCACTGGCTTGGTGCGAGGAGCAGGAACGGGCCGGGCCGGGCCTGGCTGGCGACGCGCACCACTGGCTTGGTGCGAGGAGCAGGAACGGGCCGGGCCGTACTGGGAACACGCACCACTGGCTTAGTGCGGGGAGCAGGAACGGGCCGGACCGGACCGGACTGGTGACACGCACCACTTGCTTGGTGCGAGGAGCAGGTCTGGGTTCCTTTATTAACCCCCGCTCCTTCTGCTGCCTAACCAGCTCCTCTCGCCGTGCCTCTACACTTTCCTTCTCCCTTTTAGCCTCCTGTAGCGCCTCCTTCTGACCGAATAACTCCTGCTCCCTCTGAACCAATAGCCCCCGTAACATGGTGGCCTCCTCTCCTAACCTGCAGACCCGCCCTTTAACGGCCTCCTGCTGCCTCGTCGTCCACACCGTGTGCCCCCCCCCAAAATGTTCTTGGGGTTGCCTCTCGGGTCTCCGTTTCACCTCTCCTGCCTGGGCTTCCTCCTTCGCCCAGGGTCCGCTATCGGCTAATCTCTCCTCCTTCTCCGTCATCCCTTTCAGGGCTTCCATATGCTTGGCCAGATCCTCTCTTATCTCCCCCCAAGTCCATGATCTCTGCTCCACTACCTGTGTCCAGGGTGTCTGCTGCTCCTGGGCACGCTGCTTGGTCCGTGTTTGGTGGGATCTTCTGTCACGTTCGTTGAATGACGGGACAGACCAAGGCGCAGCGTGATATACGTACATGTTTATTTAACTTAATAAACACCCGACAAAACAATAAACGAAACGAAACGTGAAGTCCAAGGTAGCACAGACAACATACCTTACACGAAACAAGATCCCACAACTACACAGTGCCAATAGGCTGCCTAAGTATACATTTACATTTTAGTCATTTAGCAGACGCTCTTATCCAGAGCGACTTACAGTTAGTGAATACATATTTTTTTTATACTGGCCCCCTGTGGGAATCGAACCCACAACCCTGGCGTTGCAAACGCCATGCTCTATCAACTGAGCTACATCCCTGCCGGCCATTCCCTCCCCTACCCTGGACAACGCTGGGCCAATTGTGCGCCGCCCATGAGTCTCCCGGTCGCGGCCGGCTGCGACAGAGCCTGGATTCGAACCAGGATCTCTAGTGGCACAGTTAGCACTGCAATGCAGTGCCTTAGACCACTGCGCCACTCAGGAGCTCAAGTATGATCCCCAATCAGAGACAACGAGCGACAGCTGCCTCTGATTGGGAACCACACCGGCCAACATAGAAATACACATACTAGATAGAAAACATAGAACTACACAACATAGAATATACACACCCTGACTCAACAAATAAGCGTCCCCTGAGTCAGGGCGTGACACCTCCAGGACCGGAATTGAAGAACCCTGCCCTAGATCTTACCAGCTATATCTGTTACAAACTCAACATTGAAAATCAGAAGCAGAAAAAGCATTAAGAGCACAAGAGCATTTTGCATGATGAGTATAACAATGCATTTGTTTTCTCTATGGGATTGATTTAGTCCATTGATTCTACCTGACTGTGTTGTCCCATATCTCCTCACACTGACTGTTTACACACCATGCACCAGTACCAGTTCATTGGGTGCATGCTTTAGAAACCATATGATACTCTCATCTTTAGTGCTAGAGGTCTGTGTGGTCCTTGTGCGTGAGAGAGAACCAAAAGCACTTATGTCTTTAATTTAAAATATTTCTGGAGTTAACGATATAGATGGGAAGCACCATTCTAACAGATTCTGTTAGCTACCCCTCTCTGCCTAATTAACCCCCCCATCCTTCTGCTCCAGAGAACGTAGGCCGGTTAGTCACGCCCGCCAAAAAACTGGAGGACACTATTCGCCTGGCCGAGCTAGTCATAGAGGTCCTCCAGCAGAACCAGGAACATCATGCAGAGGTGAGTGGGTAACCCCTCCTCTCCTCCTTCTCTCCTCCCTCTCTTTGTCTATGTCACTTCTTTACCTCCTCTGACACCTCCTTCACGGCATGGAGGAGGGAGCTAGTCTATTCCATCCTGACACCTGTGTTTGTATATAACGCTGTCTTTGTGCATGGGGTGCATTTTTAATCAAAGAGTTAATATACAGCCAGAAATCCTTAATGGAAGATATACTGAATGTTAACATTGTACCAGGTCACTATTTCTACCCGAGGAGGCATTTTAAAGTAGGAAGTGTGCAGTTCCCTTCACTTATTCATCATTCATAACCCTGGTGGTACAATGTTATATAAAACATTGGTTGCCTTGAAAGATGGTAATGCCTTAATGATTTCAGCTCAGTGTGTATAGTAGAGTAGAGACCAGAACAGTATAGGTAGCTCTAATGTAGGCTAGGTGCTCCTAGTCGGACTGAACTGTAGGTGATGCATGCTCATTCCGTGTTAGCTGAGAAATTGGAACATGAAATAGAAACAGCACTAAATAGCTTTTCCCTTTCCTTTGTATTTCCTAAAAGTATAATAAACTAATGTAAAAAAAAACAGCATGATGAGCATGTATAGAATTACTATAGGCGATCCTATGGGATCGATAAGATTAATGCAGATAAGCAGATTTATTCTATCTCTCTGACATATGCTTGACAGGCTGCAGTCACAAGTTCTGGAGATCAATCGGTACAGTATAATTATTTATCTTTCTCTTCAGTCCCATCACAAACCTCCTCTCCCTATGTATCGCATGTTGACCTGCACAGAGACTAGGGCTGCCCTTAGTGTTGTAAGGCTGAGGGGAATACACTAGAGAGGGATGGGTGGCTGTTGTGTGTTAGTGCAGAAACATCAGCTAACACACTGAATCTGTAAAGCACCACAATACTATAGGCTGCACAACATCACTTTGATCATAGAGCATGTCCATGGGGCCATAAAGACTGGTCTTCTTCTCTCTAGCAGCATGTTGAAGTGAGATATACCACAGTATTCTATGTGTGGTTCTTTTAGGGTTTGATTGAATCCAAAACACTACCATGAATGTGTCTCTCCTCTCCTCCCTCCATCCAGCTTTAAGTTGGGTTTCAAATCACGGTTCACACTCTTCAAAAATGTAGAACATTCCTCTTCCTTCCAGCTTCTCCTCTTCCATCTCTCCGCTCTGTCCCTCCTTCCGTCTAAGAATTGTTCCACCATTCAGAAACCCTTTATAGGAATGCCTGATACTGTAGATACATTACTGTTTACTATCCTGTACATCTCCCTGTGTTTTCACTGTCTGTGTGATCGGTGATATTCGCTCCCTGCAGGGCAAAGAGGTACGTGGTGCAGTTGAATGAGAACCCCCTCTCCCCTCTAACCCTGTAATGGTTTGTGCATGTCCACTGGATGCCCTGCCCCCTTTCTCTGAAGTGTTGGTACTGTCCTCCAGGACTGCTCTTTGAGCCTGTTGTGAATGATGGTGCCTGCTGCAGCATTAGAGCCTGTACCCTCTCTGGCTGAGCCTGCGCACTGAGCCTGGGCGTGCAGTAGAGGCCTGGGCCTTGCCTGAGATCCCCTCCCCCAACATACAGTAGGATGGAGCCCCCAGTTTACCTGTCCATCCATCCCTCCTTCCTGGAACTATAACCTCCTCTCCCTGAGTCCACACTCACTCCCCCTGCCCTGTGTATGATGATGATGATGATGGAGCACAGCTTGGTCTGCTGCCTGTACTATAGCACTAATGATTTATAGTGTTGTAAATAGTCTTGGAGGGGGTGGGCAGGTAACTGGGCAGACAGCAGGTAAGTGAGGACTTGACTGCAATGCCATCCCCCTGTGCTGGGCTAGCTATAGTCCCCCAATGGCCGATGATTTTCAGGGGGTATTGATTCGATATGGAATAAAAGCATGCAACATAACGGGAAGGATTAAGCTTTTCACAGTTTAATCAGTTTCCCCTCTTGGAATTTGTCAAATGTCAAGTTTTTCAAAAGATGAGCAAATAAGCAGAGCCAAGACTGCGAGCACAGGAGCAACATCAACAGAAGCAGAAAGGTCAATGGAAACAGACATGGATAAATACCTCTTTCTGACCTACTAAGTACCATTGTTCACCCTAACTAGTCATCCCGAAAATCACTGGGGAAACCCATATCAAGTAACTTGGTTTGTACACAAATTGTCCCCCTAAAGACCCTGTAGTTAGTAGAGAAGCTATGTGCTGCAGTCTTCGGTCAGTGTGCCTACTTCCTATTATATGGCCAAGTGCAGTGCATGGACATGACCTGTGTCACATTCACATCTACTGAGGAGTGTTCTGTTGGTATGGCAATGATGTGAATGGTGGAAAACCGAGCTCATTCCTGATCCTGGAGAGCAAAGCATGTAGGGAGTTTTCCACGTCAGTCTGCATGAGAAAAGGTACCAAAGGCACCCCCCCAGGCTGTGACCCTCCCTCAATCTAGAGATAACTGATCAATAATCAATGAATAGAACATAATTACTCAGCTTTATGATATTATTATGCTATTTTTGGCTTTGTGTATAAATGTATTGTAAAGTTAATCTCACGTTGGTGGGAGGCTAGCTAAGGTTTTAAGCAGCCCAGATCCCTTTAGTCTTCACCAGCAAGAGCTGTGGATTGGTTTTACTCATTATTGGAGAACACATGGGTTTGCAAGGCTATATACATCCATTACTACAGTTAACTACATATAATCACTACATTTAACGGCCAACAATCCAAGTACACTGTGCCTACCTACCTACACAGAATATCAGTCCACAGTGCTTTGCTGGTGTGGGGTTTGTTAGAGCTCTGATTAGCTCCAGTACACGTGTGATCCTCCCCAGTCTGCTCTGCCCCCTCTCTGTCCAGCCTGCTCTATCCCATATCCTCACACCCTGACTGGGGCTTGTGTTCACCATTCACCCCCTCCCTGGTTCTGTCTCTGTCCTGTCCGGGCTGTGTGTGTGTCTAGGCCTTTGCCTGGTGGTCTGACCTGATGACGGAGCATGCTGAGACCTTCCTGGCCATGTACGCTGTGGACATGGACGCTGCCCTGGAGATCCAGTCTCCTGAGAGCTGGGACAGCTTCCCTCTCTTCCAGCTGCTCAACAACTTCCTCCGCACTGACTGTACGTTTCCTGTTTCTCTTCCTATATACACCAATGGCCTTCTCCATCCAATAAACATTAAGGAGCAAGTTAGACTCATGTCATATTTTGGAATGTGAATGGGCATAACCATCAAGTCAAAAGTCAAACGTTTTCACCCATCTTAAACAGCTAGAAGTGGTTGTGGCTTTTCTCCAGGAAACACCTTAGAAACAGTGATAGAAATAAGATAAGTTGGGCAACTCTTCCATTCAGACCAGATTCTTTTCAAAAACACATACTGTTCTGTGCCACACTAACACTGCTTGGTCCTGCCCCTCTGTGACGTTTAGGTTATAATATCAATACTGTATTCTCTCTCTCCCTCTTCTGCCTAGATCACTGCCCCTCTGTGATGTTTATTAACAATATAGCTATAATCTCTTTATTCTCTCTCTCTTCTTCTGCTTCTAGATCATCTGTGCAACGGGAAATTCCACAAACACCTGCAGGACCTCTATGCTCCCCTGGTGGTTAGATATGTGGACCTGATGGAGTCCTCCATCGCTCAGTCTATCACCAGGGGGTGTGAGGGAGAGTCCTGGGTGCCTGTAAAGTAAGGAACTGTCCCTCCTCTCACTAACTGTCTGCTCTTTAGGATGGCTGGAGAGAGACACTCCAACAAAACTAATATACTTCATGTTGTTCACTCCTTATTGAAATTTGACTGTCTCATCACACTCATTTACATTTTAGTCATTTAGCAGACGCTCTTATCCAGAGCGACTTACAGTTAGTGAATACATATTTTTTTTATACTGGCCCCCCGTGGGAATCGAACCCACAACCCTGGCGTTGCAAACGCCATGCTCTATCAACTGAGCTACATCCCTGCCGGCCATTCCCTCCCCTACCCTGGGCCAATTGTGCGCCGCCCATGAGTCTCCCGGTCGCGGCCGGCTGCGACAGAGCCTGGATTCGAACCAGGATCTCTAGTGGCACAGTTAGCACTGCGATGCAGTGCCTTAGACCACTGCGCCACTCAGTCAGAGCAATTTAAGGAGAGTTATAGATAAGGAGTTTCTTTTCTGATAAGGAAAACATATCCCGATAGGCATTAATATAACTTTTATTAGGATACATAGGCCTTGGAAATGAGTTATTCCAACTTCAGAAACAAATTCAACCTGAATATGATGGTATGACTCATAAGGTATTATTAAAAAATATTAGTTTTGTCATCAGAAGCTCCAAGCTTTAGCGGATATTGCTCTGTAAAATTGCAAAAGTGCAAGAGGGCGATACTGTGCCACATTCGTGACCCTCATCATGATTAGGTCACATGTAGTTTAGTTGAAGTCAATCTCCAAAATGTCCATCCTTTTTGTTTTATGGACTAACCTTCATAGTGTGTGCTTTGAAATGTCGCTAAGGACAGAAGCTGTCCAGTGTATTTAGTGTTGCTAATTTGCTCTTTTTCACTTTATAAGTAATGCTTATTGATTTGTCATGTCATTTATATTTTGCTTTGCTTTCTTCATAAAGGAAGCTCTTTACGAAGCTCTAAACCTCAAAGGAAAATGCATATTTCTAGACTATAGGTCTTATTTTTATATAACTTTGCAGTTTTGTCTAACTGCTGCTTTTATACTGTATGTGTCTCTGTGTCTCTGAAATCCACCGCTTATTCTAAATGTAGTAGGTCCTCTTTTTCTATGTGCTTCAGAAAAAAAACTGCTTCTCTAACTGTTGGTCTTGTTTACGTGTGCCATTTACATACTATGTATCATGTCAGAAGAGGTTTCTTTGTGTGACTTTTCCTCTTGTGTTCTGGATTTGATTACTTTTACTGTACAGTGTCACATGGCTTTGATCTGCAGCAGTGTCTACATTACCACTGTTATGGATTTATTTTGTTCTTTTTGTCTGTCTCTTCTGCAGGAGCTTAACAAGTAATCTGCCCAATGTGAATCTCCAAATACCAAATGTCAACCTCCAAATTCCCAAAGTACCAAATCTGCCGCCAGTAGCAGGACTATCAGTTAACCTTCCAACAATGCCTAGTTTTTCCACCCCGTCATGGATGGCTGCTATCTATGTCCCTGAGTGTGTATTCAACTAGTTCACCTTAGATTTATGTGCATCAGCAACGTGTTGCCTTGGTATGAAGATGTCCCCTAGGTCCCCATGTCACAGGTCATTGACAATTGAAGACCATCAAATTAAAATATTGATTTACATTTTGAAGTGTCTCTGCCAACAACCTGCTTAGACATTATGTAAGGGAAGATACCTTTTTTCTCAACTACATAGGCTAGTGCATGGCACGCACATTCCAGATAAGACTACTTTACCATTACGTTCCTCAAATCAAATCTGTGGTAAAAATTAAAGCGGTCTTTACCGATCCTTTCATGTTCATGCCAAGAGCACTGCTAGGGGGTTAAATACAGTAGTTTAGGCTTGTTTAGAGTTTAGACTTGTTTGTTCTTGAAATGAATGGCTGTCTGATGCCTTCTCATTTCCCCTCAACACGCATGCAGTTGAGCTGTGAGGTACAGAGATACAGATCCAAACCAAACTTATCTCTCACTGGAAGTTTTGGGCTTTGTTGCACTGAACTCTATTGCAACAGTGGACATAATTAATCTGGAATTTTCTGTCCAATGTGTATCTCTCCTCTCTCCAACAGTTTTCATAATTGCACTAGCTGTAGAGAATAAAGTAGTTAGTCCATACTGCTCATGAATAGTTGACTGTACCACTGATTGCTAATAGAATATACAGTTGAACATCCGAGCACCTTCAGACAGGACTGCATGGTGTGTTTAATAGCTACTATACTGTAGTATACCCACCCTGTACTACCAGCCTGAGGACATGGGGGGTGAGAGAGGGGGCTGCTCTTTAAGAGTTGTATTTTCTGTGATTGATCATGTATACCCAAAACAAATCAAGTTCAATAGAGATCAATTAAACCTATTTTTGAACACAAAATTATAGCCATTTTTCAAGGCACACCTTCCCTTACCTCTCTCCTCCCCCGCTCTGTGTAGACACAAGTCAGTGTGTAAGATATCTGCAGTGACTATCCTGCATGATCCCACTTCACACCTAAAGGGTTAATAATAACCATGTGCTACAGCATGGTTATTTCAGTGTTGAAGTCAACCCTGACCTTTTATTTCCCCCATACACTGACTGTCTGTCTAAAGAGATGAGCTGATATTTATAAGTTGAGTTAATAAGAAGGACATTACTCTGGAACAGTCGGTCGGTGTGTGGTCAGAATAAAGGACCTTTGACCCCAGTGTTGAGGTGTGGAGGACCAGCATCCTCCTTTACCCCCCCCTGACCCCTCCGTCTTCTATGACCTTTGCCCTCTGACCTGTTTGTGTTTGGATGCAGCAATGGCTCTGGGACATCAGAGGACCTGTTTTGGAAGCTGGAGGCGCTGCAGACCTTCATCAGGGACCTGCACTGGCCCGAGGAGGAGTTCGCCAAACACCTGGAGAACCGCATGAAGCTCATGTCCAGCGACATGATCGAGAACTGCGTCAAACGGTGTGTGTGTGTGTGTGGGGGGGGGGGGGGTCAGTGTGTGGGGTCAGTGTGTGTGTGTTTCTGTATGTTTGTATTTCTCTGTGTTGTGTTGGTATCAGTGTAATGTGGGTGTCAGTGTTGGGGTGTGTGTGTGTGCAGTGTTGTGTCGTGTTGGTGTTGATGTGTGTCTCTCGATCATGTGGCTGGACATGAGCCTCTGCCTCAAACAAAATATGATACATTACATGGAGATGTTCCCTGATGTGTATTGCAGCACTAGGATGGCATTTGAGTCCAAGCTGGCAAAGAGCAGCAGGGGAACAGACTTCCGCATCTCCGCAGCAATATGCACCATGTTCAATGTGATGGTGGACGCGAAGGACCAGTCCGCCAAGCTGTGTGCCATGGAGATGGGCCAGGAGGTACGAATGTGGCGCAAAGGTTCTGGGTTCAATTCCCACAAGGAATCACATGCACTTTTGAAAATGTAGCACCCAAATAGATGAACTGTGTGTTATTTTGGTCTTTCAGAAACAGTACCACGCCCAAATAGATGAACTGATTGAGGAGAGTGTGAAGGACATGATCCAACTCATGGTGGCTAAGGTACACTTCTTTCTTCTTCCTAATGATACGTGACTCATATTGTGGTTGGCCTCATAGTGCTTTGTGGTGCTAGAAAAGAAGAACAAGGTGATTTGTGGTCTGGGATAGATCTTGTTGTTAGTTGTTTGTTTATTTGTTGTTTGTGTGTCTCACTTCTTCTCAGTTTGTGGTTATTCTGGAGGCCCTGTTGGCCAAGATCTCCCGATACGATGAAGGCACTCTCTTCTCATCTTTCATGTCGTTCACGGTAAGACTAGGCTTCTCTACTGTATCTCCTCCAATATCGTGGCAGATGGAACGATGTTTCTGTCAATTATTCTAGTTATATTGGTGACTGTGCAAATGATGCAATTCTCATCTTTTCTTGTCACAATCTGTCTGTAATTTCAGGTGAAAGCTGCGTCAAAGTATGTTGATGTCCCTGTAAGTGTGCTGCAGTCCCAGTTGATCTCTGTAAAATGTCAAACCAGTAAAGCTATGTGATCTGAAAGGAAGTACATATAATTTAATACATTCTTATGTGTTTGGGGTGATTTTACTGTACTGTGCAGAGCAGATACATTTTTGTCCCATAACCCCTTTCCTCTGCCCCTCCCAACCCTGCCTCTATGTATTTTCTTTAGTACTTTTTACTGTGTGAGTAGGTATATAGTACATTATATCATTATTTCATTTCATAGTTTTCAATATTTTATTCATAAAGTTTTCCATATTCTTTAGTATATTTTCAATAAATGTTTACATAATACAAATGACAGATTTACAATGTCTCTGTTTCTGTTGTGTTTGCAGAAGCCTGGGATGGATGTTGCTGACGGTTACGTGACCTGTGTTCGCCACTCTCAGGACATCCTGCGAGATAAGGTCAATGAGGAGGTGTATATAGAAAGGTTATTTGATGTAAGTAAGATGCCATCTCCTCCTGACCAATAGGAAGGGGGGTTTCCAAAATGTGGCAAAACAATTGTGACAGAGAAGGGATATGATATGTCACATTTTGAGACCAGGGGCTGTGTGTATACCTTCCACAGCCTGGTACAAAAGAGGCTTGTGTTTTATTATCTTCTTCTAGTGGCTTTTCTACTCTGTCTTTTCTTCTTCCTCTGCTGCTGCCCACTGTATTCTGGTGTGCATTGCCACAGTGCTTTTGGACCTTTGGGAATTGGTTGGATCCCTTTTGTTTACAAGCAAAGAATCCAAACAAGCACCATCAGGCAGGATTATCGAAAGCAGTGCTCTCTGGGTAAAGAAAGATATGGGATTATGTACAGATAATCTAATTCACTCCAACACTAGGATACATAATAACTAACCCAAATAATATATAGTACTTTACAATACAGATGTCAGATCTGAATTTGTTGATTATAATTAATGGACATTTTTGTAGGGGTTGATAGATTTTTCATAAGGAAAAATCAAGCCTGAAATGTCAAAGTGGAAATTACAAACTTCAGAAGCCTTTTTAAACCTCAAACACTCTAAAAGGTTTAAATGTCATGCATTGCAGGAACGTTCTCCTGCAACAGGGTGATAAAATTAAGATTCTACATCTGTACACGTTCATGTTTGAATCGGTCAGGCAAAAGCGAGGGATATGAGAGCACTGTCTTACAAGCACATAATCCTTATGTGGTACATTTGAAATAATGTGTCCACCATTTTCGTGAGGTGTACTACAGTGATGTGTGTCTACTTCAAACCCCTGAAATGTATAAACTGTACAGTATTGTGGTGCACAGATGTGTGTGTGTGTGTTGGCTTTGTGTGTCTGAGAGGTGTGCGGTACAGTGATTCAGTATGTGTATTGGTTGTTTATTAGTGTGTTTGAGAGGTATTATTCGTGCAATAGAATTCTGTTCCTGCGCTGTCACTGTGTGTGTTGGCTTTGTGTGTTTGAGAGGTGTGCTGTATGTGCTAGAGTGGTGTGTGTTTTGTGCTTGAGAGGTGTGTAGTACTATTGTGAAGTATGTTTGCTTTGGTCTTTGAAGTCAACACTGGCTGTCCCTGTCTGTCTCTTGTTTTTACACTGCTGAACAGTACCACCTCCACCTCCCTACTGTTTCTGATGTGTGGCTGTTAGTATAGCTGCTTCTGACCTGGCCCTACCCGGCACTACCATGTTTGACTGTTTACGTCTTTTGAGCTGTGGATGTTTTGGTTGCAACAGTGTTTAACTTTGTATTTCCGTTAGTGTCTGACGATTAGATTGGTGGTTTTATAAACATTATTATTTCTCCTAATGCTATTATATTACATCCATCTCTTTGCATGTATCGGCAAAACTCCCGAATGCTGCATCTCTCTCTCGCTCTCTCTCTTTCTATCTTTCACTTATTCATTTTAAAAAAAATACTTTTTTTCTCTCTCTCAATTCTTTCTTTCTTTCTTTCTTTCTTTCTTTCTTTCTTTCTTTCTTTCTTTCTTTCTTTCTTTCTTTCTTTCTTTCTTTCTTTCTTTCTTTCTTTCTTTCTTTCTTTATTAACCCCATAACTCCTGCCGCCTCCTCTCTCTTCAAAAAGTGGCACTTATCTCTAATGTTGCATTGATTTAGCACATTATGTTGAATGGCATGATTTCAAGTCAAATAATCTTCCTGTGTACATCTTCTAGCATGACCCTTCTCCTCTTAGAGTTCTGCCTCAGTCCTACTACTATACTACCATACTACCATACTACCATACTACTACTGTATACTACCATACTAACATACTACCATACTACTACTGTATACTACCATACTAACATACTACCATACTACTACTGTATACTACCATACTAACATACTACCATACTACTACTGTATACTGCCATACTAACATACTACCATACTACTACTGTATACTACCATACTAACATACTACCATACTACTACTGTATACTACCATACTAACATACTACTATACTACCATACTACTGTATACAACCATACTAACATACTACCATACTACTACTGTATACTACCATACTAATATACTACCATACTACTATACTACTATACAACACATACAGCCAACCAATCTCTGCACACACAGACCCAGCAACCCACCCACCTGCCTTCCAGGTCTGCATGCACTGCACGCACTTAGGCTCAACTTGACTGTGTGAAGTGGACAGGCATCCATCCGCTGATATCTGACCTCAAGTGCCAATCAAAAACCTCCTGACCAACCAGTCATCTCTACAGGACAAACAAACCTGGGTCCAATCAAATTAGAGCTAGGACAATTAGACCAATCAAACCATCCAAAAACCAACCAAACCAAGTCCATTCCTGACCCTCCAGGCCCTCATTTCTGACCCTCCAGGCCCTCATTTCTGACCCTCCAGGCCCTCATTTCTGACCCTCCAGGCCCTCATTTCTGACCCTCCAGGCCCTCATTCCTGACCCTCCAGGCCCTCATTTCTGACCCTCCAGGCCCTCATTCCTGACCCTCCAGACCCTCAACCCTGACCTCCAGGCCCTCATTCCTGACCCTCCAGGCCCTCATTCCTGACCCTCCAGGCCCTCAACCCTGACCCTGCCTACTCACTCCACATTACTCAAAGTTTATCTTTTTTTCTGGACGTTCGAGGGAGGACGACTATTTCCTATCTTCCTTGGTTGATCACTCTTCTCTTGTTTGCTGTTCTCTTATAACTTGATCTCTGATATGAATCATCTAGATCAATCTTATCCTACACTCTGAATGAATGAAACTTTCTTCTGAAAAGGTATAAGAAAATAGCACAACTCTCTGCTCCTTGCCTGCCTAACGCTTTCCTCATTTTCTCATTATGATTTCATTTCCACAAATGATCGAGTTGAAACGACACTGTGGAGTTACAGTATGTAGAATGAATGTTCTAAGACATTGTCGTGTTGCTAATAGGCATTGAAGAGTCTTCATAGGGCTTTAGCGCTAGTCTAGAAGTACATTTGAAGGAAATAATTTACTTATTTAAATTCAGATACCCTTACAGTATACAAATGATGTATGGCATATTATGTTCAGTTTATTGAAAACCAGAGTAAGATTCTGTCCCTGAGTGTACTGGAGCCAGAATGTTTGTGCCAGAAAACATAAAATTTTTATAGTTTAATGTCTACTACTAATACTAATGTCTACTACTAGTATACCCTGGCAATGTATTAATCATTTCATTGTTTCCCTCAGATTTTCGTAGTGTCCTGCAGTGATTGGAGAAATGGGAATTATGAAATAATTAATGTGCTTTTTTCTGAAATAAGTATTTTATGCATGTTCAGTGTGTGCTTCTATTCACCACTGCAGAGTTGTGTGTTCTGTGTGTGTGTGTGTGTGTGTGTGTTTTGAAATGTCTGTCCCATCTTTCCTGGAGAATACTGAGAATGTTTGTGTGTGTTAAGTGTCAGAAAGTACTTCCGTATGTGTGTGTGCTTTGCTTGTAAGACGTGCGTATGTGTTCACTAGATAACATATCAAGCTACATCTTGATATGCAGAGAGCTCTAGTTTGCTTGAGTGTATGTGTTTGTGCTTGCTTTCATCTACCTGTGTGTGTTTTGCTGGAGAACGCTGTGTTTGTGTGTGTTGCAGCAATGGTACACAGCCACCATGAACCTACTGGGGACCTGGCTCACTGAGCGAATGGACCAGCAGCTCCATGTTTACCAGCTCAAGATCCTCATCAGGATCGTTAAGGTAACTCACTGGCAGGGGAGGAGTTAATAACCTGCACTGTAACCCAGGTACTGTAACTCACTGGCACCCCAGGGGTTAAAACTATTTTGACACTAGCGTCGCTTTATGTGATGGAAAGATGAGAATGTGATTGAAAGTATATGTTGAAAAATGTAGCTTAGTGGTGTGGTAGGGGTTATAGTGTGCTGGAGATGGGGTTTGGAGAGACCCTCATCTCTTCATAATCACTGTCATTGATTTCCATACCATGTAGTCTACCTCTAACTCGGTGAAACACGTTCTTTCTAGAGCCTTTAGTTACTTTCATTATTATCATCCTTCTTCTTCATCCCTCTTTACCGGCTAACCAATGTACTAATTAGCCATCCTTCTACTTCATCCATCTTTACCGGCTAACCAATGTACTAATTAACCATCCTTCTACTTTATCCATCTTTACCGGCTAACCAATGTACTAATTAATCATCCTCCTTGTAGAAAAAGTACCGTGACTTCCGTCTGCAGGGGGTGCTAGACTCCACCCTGAACAGTAAGATGTATGACACGGTGAGGAACAGACTGACCCTGGAGGAGGCCAACGCGTCCATGAAGGAGGGAGGCATGGGGGGCATCTCCATGAAGGACAGCGACGAAGAGGACGAAGACGACGACTAGAGCCCGGCACCACCCAACACCGGAACTGGCACCTCCCTTTACCCCCGTCTGACTCCTGTCTCCACACCCCACCCCCGACCCCCTCCTCTCACAACTTTTGACTTAGCCTGGTAACCAATGCATGTACCAACTCTGTTACTCACATATCCACTCAAGGACCTGTTTGTCAGCTCAAAATGCCCATGAAGGACCTGTAATAAACAATACAAATAGTAATTACTATACTGAGGAAACATGTTGAAAAAATAAACCATAATTGACAGTTTAGCTGTGTCATGCTGAAGATAGCACCGATGATATCTTTGTCTCATTGATTTCTAAATTCATTTCTATGTGTTCCTAAGCAATATGGAGTACCATTTGTTTGACAATGTTGAGTGAGATTATTAGGTGTGTCCCTGTCCAATGCAAACCTATATGGCGCTTCTTTGTCGTATTCTACATTCATTATAATGGTACATTTTCGTGACGATGAGTGTATGTACCCTTTTCTTTGTATTGTCTGTCTTTTAAGTGGATGCCAACTGCTTCAAACTGAAAATGACCCTCTGTATTTAAGTTCAAAGCTGTTTAGGATAAACATCTTCTCGTCTACTCACTCTACTCTCACCACCATAGTATGTTCTAGAACTTGCGTTTCGTCATCTGCGTCAATGCTCTGTGACTTCATAATCTCTCACCCTATCACTAACGAGACATCGTCCAGCAGCCATTTTGAACTAAAATGAGTGGGTATTCTAGAAATGCAATATTCTCATAGCTCCATTTTGATATCTTGTTGGAGATTATATTTTTATTTCTACGTTGTTGAAACGACCTTGAAACAGGTTCTACTCTATTTTAAATTGAGTTGCACTTTTACAGAGAAAAGAGCACTAAAAAGAAAATGTTTTTTTATTTACCTAAATTAAAGTTGGCCCGTCTTTTTTGTTTGATTCCGTAGTTGATTAGGATGAGCTGTGTGGCATTTCCTTGGGTCTCACTGTTGTTTTGTATATACAACGCTGTATATTGCATTCTGAGCCATCGCTGCATGCCTGTGGGTCCCCACCCTCTGAATGCTTTCTGTTTTCTGTGTGAAATTAGCTGGTGGATCATTCTTGCTTTTGCCTTATGAAAGTCAACAGTTGTAATATGCAAGAGCTGTGGCCTCTAAATAAAAATTACTGTACAAATACAAAGTTGTTTTCTGCTTTGTGTTATTTATATAATGTATGCCAATTACCTATTTAACCCAGGGAAAGGGGACGAGATGTTTTTAAATCTGCACACTGGGACAGAACAATGTACATAATGGTGAGGTTAGGTATAACTGTAAACCAACTACTGACAACCAACTACTGATATTGTTACCATAGAAAATAGAACTGACCTCCAAGCTCATCACTAAGCTAAGTCCCTGGGAATGAACACCACCCTCCGCAACTGGATCCTGGACTTCCTGACAGACCGCCCCCAGGTGGTGAGGGTAGGCAACAACACATCCGCCACGCTGACCCTCAACACGGGGCCCCTCAGGGGTAAATTCTTAATCACCTCCTATAATCCCTGTTCACCCACGACTGCGTGGCCACACACGACTCCAACACCATCATCAAGTTTGCAGATGACACAACGGTGGTGGGCCAGATCACCAATGACGATGAGACAGCCTATAGGGAGGTCAGAGACCTGGCAGTGTGGTGCCAGGACAACAACCTCTCCCTCAATGTGGGCAAGACAGAGGAGCTTATGATGGACTACAGGAAATGGAGGGCCGAACACGTCCCCATTCACATCGATGGGGCTGTAGTGGAGTGGGTCGAGAGCGTCAAGTTCCTCGGTGTCCACATTGCTAAGGACCTATCAAGGTCCAAACACACCAACACAGTTGTGAAGAAGGCACGACAACGCCTCTTCCCCCTCAAGAGGCTGAAAAGATTTGGCATGGGCCCTCAGATTCTCAAAAAGTTCTACAACTGCACCATTGAGAGCATTTTGACTAGCTGCATCACCATTTGGTATGGCAACTGCTCTGCATCCGACTGCAAGGCGCTACAGAGGGTAGTGTGTACGGCCCAGTACATCACTGGGGCTGAACTCCCTGCCATCCAGGACCTCTATACCAGGCGGTGTCAGAGGAAGGCCCTTAAAATTGTCAAAGACTCCAGCCACCCAAGTCATAGACTGTTCTTTCGGCTACCGCACAGCAAACGGTACTGGAGCGCCAAGTCTGGGACCAAAAGGCTCCTGAACAGCGTCTACCCCCAAGCCATGACTGTTAAATAGTTAACCAAATAGTTACCCAGACTATTTGCATTTACCCTTTTTGCACAAACTCTTTTTGACTCTATGCACACACATTCAGTAGAGGTGCGTAGGTAAAATAACTGGGGAAGCCAATCCAGAAAAAAATGCCATATTACAACCTATGTGTTGTGATAATTGCATTATTTACTCTATAATTAGTTAATATGCCTTGACACCGTGATATATAGGCCTAAGGCCGAGACAATAAGAAGACACAGTGGTAGAATAAATTCAACCACACATTTGTTTCATTACAAAACTGGAGAGCAACCTCTGTCTGGTGAAGTCCACAAAGCATATTGCATGTAACAAACAGTTACATGACCTACAGCATGGTCAAGCAAGGTTATGTTTCCGACATTTTTGGACTACTAAACAACTATTGATTTAGAACCACAGCGAGTTACCGCAAGTTGCAAAGAAAATAGGAGCTGCCTCCACTATTCCAGCACCATTTCAACTTCTACATTATCTAATCACCAATGCTTAGTCTAATACAGTGACAACAAAAATATACAAAAAATGATTTACTCCAATCAACGTAAGCTAAATATGATGTGGCTATCCATGGTACTGATTTCTGTGTGTTTGTGTGTGTGTGTGTGTGTGTGTGTGTGTTTGCAAGAAGAAAAAACATGTTGACTCACCCTATTTGTAGAGAAACACCAATGCCATCCTCCTCTTTCATGTTGCCTAAACGGTCTATGACTCTGTCATACAGTACATGCTTTTAGTTTTTGTTGTCCTAGGCCAGGCCAGCTAGTTAACATTAGCATCCTCTCAGGCCAGGGGCACAATGTATGAATTTATGGTTGGATCAGAATCTGCGTTATAATCATTGGCCAGTACGGAGAATTAAGTAAAACCACAAGTCAAAGCAACAATTCCATTTTGTTTTGTTGGCTTGTGATGTGATTGGTTTGAAGCCAAATCCAAACTGGCTTGCCTTGACACTTTTTTTTTTTTTACAGTGAGGGAAAAAAGTATTTGATCCCCTGCTGATTTTGTACGTTTGCCCACTGACAAAGAAATGACCAGTCTATAATTTTAATGGTAGGTTTATTTGAACAGTGAGAGACAGAATAACAACAACAAAATCCAGAAAAACACATGTCAAAAATGTTATACATTTATTTGCATTTTAATGAGGGAAATAAGTATTTGACCCCTCTGCAAAACATGACTTAGTACTTGGTGGCAAAACCCTTGTTGGCAATCACAGAGGTCAGACGTTTCTTGTAGTTGGCCACCAGGTTTGCACACATCTCAGGAGGGATTTTGTCCCACTCCTCTTTGCAGATCTTCTCCAAGTCATTAAGGTTTCGAGCCTGACGTTTGGCAACTCAAACCTTCAGCTCCCTCCACAGATGTTCTATGGGATTAAGGTCTGGAGACTGGCTAGGCCTCTCCAGGACCTTAATGTGCTTCTTCTTGAGCCACTCCTTTGTTGCCTTGGCCGTGTGTTTTGGGTCATTGTCATGCTGGAATACCCATCCACGACCCATTTTCAATGCCCTGGCTGAGGGAAGGAGGTTCTCACCCAAGATTTGACGGTACATGGCGCCGTCCATCGTCCTTTTGATGCGGTGAAGTTGTCCTGTCCCCTTAGCAGAAAAACACCCCCAAAGCATAATGTTTCCACCTCCATGTGTGACGGTGGAGATGGTGTTCTTGGGGTCATAGGCAGCATTCCTCCTCCTCCAAACACGGCGAGTTGAGTTGATGCCAAAGAGCTCGATTTTGGTCTCATCTGACCACAACACTTTCACCCAGTTCTCCTCTGAATCATTCAGATGTTCATTGGCAAACTTCAGACGGGCCTGTATATGTGCTTTCTTGAGCAGGGGGACCTTGCGGGCGCTGCAGGATTTCAGTCCTTCACGGCGTAGTGTGTTACCAATTGTTTTCTTGGTGACTATGGTCCCAGCCTCCTTGAGATCATTGACAAGATCATCCCGTGTAGTTCTGGGCTGATTCCTCACCGTTCTCATGATCATTGCAACTCCACGAGGTGAGATCTTGCATGGAGCCCCAGGCCGAGGGAGATTGACAGTTATTTTGTGTTTCTTCCATTTGCGAATAATCACACCAGCTGTTGTCACCTTCTCACCAAGCTGCTTGGCGATGGTCTTGTAGCCCATTCCAGCCTTGTGTAGGTCTACAATCTTGTCCCTGACATCCTTGGAGAGCTCTTTGGTCTTGGCCATGGAATCTTGGCCAGTTTGGAATCTGATTAATTGATTGCTTCTGTGGACAGGTGTCTTTTATACAGGTAACAAGCTGAGATTAGGAGCACTCCCTTTAAGAGTGTGCTCCTAATCTCAGCTTGTTACCTGTATAAAAGACACCTGGGAGCCAGAAATCTTTCTGATTGAGAGGGGGTCAAATTCTTATTTCCTTCATTAAAATGCAAATCAATTTATAATATTTTTGACATGCGTTTTTCTGGATTTTTTTGTTGTTATTCTGTCTCTCACTGTTCAAATAAACCTACCATTAAAATTATAGACTGATCATTTCTTTGTCAGTGGGCAAACGTACAAAATCAGCAGAGGATCAAATACTTTTTTCCCTCACTGTAGCTGAAATCACTCAGTTTAGCTCAACGCTGTTATTATTCCCAAAAAATATCAAGGGTGGCCAAATGCTCGCTGGCTTCCCTCACATTCAATGCTACTGGCAGCAACAATGTCATACTCTTTCTGACCAGACAGCATCAGATAGATACCCTACACATACTGAGACAGAGGGGCGCTGTTTCATTCGCTCTGATGCTTTCTCCGGTGAGATACATTCAGCAGCCTCTTGCGAATTGAAGGAAATGTATGAAACAGAGAGACATCGTCTGGCTACTCTTGGCATCCATGAATACACACCACTGCACACACTGGACTCTACCCACACATTCACACATACTTACAGTCGTGGTCAAAAGTTTTGAGAATGACACAAATTTCCACAAAGTCTGCTGCCTCATTTTTTATGATGGCAATTTGCATATACTCCAGAATGTTATGAAGAGTGATCAGATGAATTGCAATTAATTGCAAAGTCCCTCTTTGCCATGAATTTAATCCCCAAAAAACATTTCCACTGCATTTCTGCACTGGCACAAAAGGACCAGCTGACATCATGTCAGTGATTCTCTCGTTAACACAGGTGAGTGTTGACGAGGACAAGGCTGGAGATCACTCTGTCATGCTGATTGAGTTAGAATAACAGACTGAATGCTTTAAAAGGAGGTTGGTGCTTGAAATCATTGTTCTTCCTCTGTTAACCATGTTTACCTGCAAGGAAACACATCATTACTTTGCACAAAATGGGCTTCACAGGCAAGGATATTGCTGCTAGTAAGATTGCACCTTAATCAACCATTTATCGGATCATCAAGAACTTCAAGGAGAGAGGTTCAATTGTTGTGAAGAAGGCTTCAGGGCGCCCAAGAAAGTCCAGCAAGCACCAGGACCGTCTCCTAAAGTTGATTCAGCTGCGGGATCGGGGCACCACCAGTGTAGAGCTTGCTCAGGAATGGCAGCAGGCAGGTGTGAGTGCATCTGCATGCATAGTGAGGCGAAGACTTTTGGAAGATGGCCTGGTGTCAAGAAGGGCAGCGAGGAAGCCACTTCTCTCCAGGAAAACATCAGGGACAGACTGATATTCTGCAAAAGGTACAGAGATTGGACTGTTGAGGACTGGGGTAAAGTCATTTTCTCTGATGAATCCCCTTTCCGATTGTTTGGGGCATCCGGAAAACACCTTGTCCGGAGAAGACAAGGTGAGCGCTACCATCAGTCCCGTGTTTATGCCAACAGTAAAGCATCCTGAGACCATTCATGTGTGGGGTTGCTTTTCAGCCAAGGGAGTGGGCTCACTCACAATTTTGCCTAAGAAC